CTTCAAGTAAGTGTTTAATGTATATTTAATTTGATCTTTTGTAATAAATTTTATATTCCTGGAAGTCGCTTAATATTTTATTTTTATATTTTGTATTTGGGTTCACCAACTTCCCTCCCTGTGATCTAAGTCTTTTGTTAATTTTAATTAATAAATTAACTGGCGTCCGCATGCAACTTAACTTATTTTATTTTTTATTGTCAAATAGAGCCCCAGCAAATCTGAACCCGGTCGCGCTGGGTGAGGAATAATTTTATAATTCTAACTTTGATCATTTATTCTCATTTTATTATATTTTTTCTTAATAACAAATTATTCCGTCTCAGTTTACATTTTACCGGATTTTTGTCGGATGTTGGAATGTAATGTTTACCTAATGGTGTAACTGGAAATTTATCTCCTGGCAATAAAAATCTATCTTGTCCTAACCTAACCTATTTTTCTACATATCGCTGTTCTTCTGGATTTAAGGAATGTAGTTCCATCTTTTCCAGTATTAATTTAGTGCAATTTTCTGGTTTTATATTTTCTTGTTCGCTATTAGATTCAGCATACTGAAAAGCTAATAATTCTTGAGGTGTAACTTATATTTTGATATCTTTATCCGTAGTGTTAATTGACATTATTTTACATTTATTCCCTTTTTGTTTTACTAAAGCTTCTCCTAAATAAACCCCTTGTCTTGTTTCTATTATGGGCAATTAACTTTCTTGTAGATCAGTATTTTGCAATGGTATTTTTACTCTCTGATGCGACCTAGCTTTGATTCTAAATAAACGTGGTACCTGGTTTACCTTGTCTTTCATTTCGTTATTTGATGCTCTTGACTCGATATCAATAAAAAGTATCGGTTCCGTCGGTTTCGATTCTGTGGCTATCATATTATAAAAAAATCTAATTTCGCTCTTTCTTCTCTCAAATAAGGTCTTCCTAGGACTCTATCTGCTGCTGTCGGGAAATCATCTTCTACCACATCAAAAATGTGTTTATTTTTCAAAAGTAATATATCCATTGTCCCAATAGTATATACTTTATCAGAGGTGATACCGGTTATGTGCGATTTCCATTTACTATGGCTTCACTTTTCAATGCTGAACCTTTAATTACGTTGATACCTGCTCCAGTATCAATGAAAAATTTAGTTTTTTTCTTGATTAATTGATCCTCTTCTAACTCTGTTGCTGGAGATTCTTCTAGAAATTTATTCATCGTTTAGATTGTGTATTCTCTAGAGTACTCACATCGCCTGAACGCGTTTGATGGCTCAACTTCGTCGCCGCGCCTTCCCGACGAATTGGACTCCAGTTTAAAGCTCCCGATTCGTTACATCTTCCAGTCTATCTAAATTCGTTTTGATGAAAATTTTGAAACCCATTATTTTGATACTGTCCTTGATATTGTCCTGTCCAATAGTCTCTATTTCTATCGTTAAAGTTTTGACTACTATTTCTATTAAAATCTGGTGGAAATCGGTTAGGTGCAGGGTTATAATTATTATATCTATCACTAAAGTTTTTGCCGTTACCTACATTCCTATATCTTTGTTGAAAATTTTGTACGGGTGTATTAAAATTGCCCTGATTGTTATAATTGTGATGATTTCTGTCTCTATTCTCCTGATATCTGTTTGGGTTCTGTCTAAAATTATCACCGTTGTGATTAGCGCGATAGTAAGTGTAACCATTTTTATTTGATCTGTTGTTTTTTTCTTGCTCTCGTTTAGCATATACTATTACTTCTTCCATGTTTTGAGGATCTTTATCATCTACCTTAGATGAAATATCATCAGGTAGCGCTTGTAAAAAGGATTTTAATGCAATTATAGGATTTGCTATATTGCTAGCATATTTGGTTTGTAGTGCTGATCTAGATCCTCCTTTGTAACTTTGTCATCTATCATTTAATTCTTCTATATTCTTTCCTCTATGCATTCGTAATTCCATAATTAACATGAGATAATGACAGTAGGGTAGACCTGGGGCAAATCTTTTTTTTAAAAGATCTAACAAATCTGTCAACTTCCTGAATTGCTTATTTCTAGTACAATCTCGCGCACTATTTGATAGTTTAGCAATCATTGCAACTGTAAATGCTGTTTCTGATGGTCCTGTGATACAAGCGGATCCATTAACTACATCTTGTATAAAGTCTATAACAGACAAATTTTTACCGTCAAACATAAGGACATTTGCTATTGCTTGTTGAATAGTTAATGATTGTGCTAAGGCTTGATGCATTATGGAAGCGTTTTCCACTCTTGTTACCTGCATATTTCTAGGATTTGCTAATATCGCTGAATATCCTAAATCTGTACGGTTACTGTATATTTCAGCTAAAGTTGTACCGTTTAAATTTTCTGTTTATTTTGCTTTATTTTTCTAGATAAATTTATAAATAGAAACTAGCAAAATACGCGTGTATTAAAGGGTGATTTAGCCAACCTTTTCCACCTGCTGTTTTCCACCCTATGATCGCCAACTTTAATTTTTCTACTGTAGGGTAAACTGGTTCGACCACGTCGAAATAAACTTCCTGACCTTCTACTTATATTTCAATTCCTCCGACACATAAAAATTCTTCTTCTAGGAGATATACCGTTTCTCTATCACACTCTAAATAATCGACATTCAATAATTCCGACGAAATGTAATTATATTTAGTTTCAGCAGTCAATGTAAATTCCACTTGTCCGTCGATTAAATCCTGGCTTGTGAAATTTACTTTCTACGTTTCTTGTACTACTGTAGAGATAATTTCATTTAAAATTAAAGAAGACATTGAAAAACAAAATAAGATGTCTAAACAATTTTAATTTTTAACGGAATTAGACTGGCATTCCTTTAGCGTATGTTAACTACTGATCGAATAACCTGCATTGTAAGCTGAACACGTACTCGATTACACATATGTCTAGTTCAGAGACTGTTTCGCAATATCTGTCATCAATTTAATTCGCGAAATTATTTCTTTTTAATTGATTCTCTTTCCACAATTTATTTTATGCAACGAAAAACAAAATTTTATCAACGATTAAAATTCCCCAAATTTGTTGACCGTAATTCTTCCCTCGCGGGCTTTTTTTAATCCTCTTACTTGTCCAAGTGGCTACACACTTCCGGTGAGGTTATTCTAGGAAATTTCACGTTTTATTAAAGAAACCAGAGATTTACGGCACGCAAAGATAGTTACTTTGCCTTATGATCGACGTTAGCGAACACAAAAAAAATCTACCTGATATACCCGCACTTGTAGATAAACATGTTTTTAAATAAACCATGTATTCATATTAATTCACATAACAATCATTTGTGTAAATGTTTTGTGTAAAATTTATGTGTAAAAAAAATTTTCTTTCCGAAACAAATTATTCTCAAAAATATAAGGAAAGAATCCCACCGCTGCCACCAGTTTGTTAAAGATGAATTTTGAAAAATAGTTTTTATAAATATCAATCAAAGATTGATGTTTTCAAAAACTTGAAAAGATCTTGGTACTTTAACATACGTTGCCCTTCGGACAAATTATATTGTATAGGTAGTGGATCCCCTTCTTACCTTACTATTATTCAGTGAGTTGGTTGAGATTCTATATTAATAGAACAATTGGTTTAGGAATATTTAAAAGACAAGGTTAAACAAATATTTAAATAGTTGTATATAAATATATATTGTGTAAAAACCCAAGTAATACAATAGTACAGTATTCTGTATTCAAATACAATTTTACGTGTGAATGTAATGTATGTGTAAGGATGTTGAATGTATAATTTGTTAAGAGTCTCTTGACTCTTTCGTATATTTACCTTTGGAATTCCTCAGAATTGAATCTTCCAATATACTCGACGTAAGTCAATTCAAAGGTTAAATCAATTCTCCAAGTTATTATAGTTATTTAATATTCTCTTTATCTCAATCAATTATGTAAAACAATCTCAATTTAAAATTTTGTAGATAGAAATCACTTTATAGTCGTCGAAAAAGCATATGTCGCACAATTTCCGACAGTAGTGTAGATACTTTGATATTTCTCAAAAATTTTATGAATTTTTTACATAAAATTTTCATTTTCACAAAATTTTTGGGAAATATCAGAGTATCTATTACACGTGTAAAAATTTAATAAATTTTCGAGAAATATCAAATTATCGATTACACGTCTAGTTACACGTGTAACAATTCTTGAAATTTCGAAAAAGTTTTAAATATAGGTTTGCATAAAGCACATAGCTCGATCGAGATTTTTCAAGCTTCTCGTTTTTTGAGCCGAGCCGAGTTCTATTAATTCGAACTCCAGCCGAGCTGTATAAAAAACTTCAAAAATTTGAGTACTCTATTTCTCTAGTCAATCTCGGGCTCAAGTCGGCTCGGACATTCAAGCACACACCTATAGTTTTCATGTATCAAATATACGTCTAAGTACACGTGAAGTTTCAGTGAAAAAATTACTTTCAAGTTGAAATTATGAATTACACGAGTAATTACATGCGGCCAAATTTACACGTGTAATTACACGTGGAATACACGTATATTTTTTCAATAGAGTTAGTGTCAAGACTTTTTATTATTGTCTGGCATATTTTCTATGGAAGAAACTAGGCAACAATTCGCATTCGATTGCTGATCGCATGGCGTGTGACAACATCATTGTATTTTTGCAGACTGATCATCTTAGTCTTACCAAAAGTGTGGATTTTCAAATAGACTCAAGCGTACAAATTTAATCAATAAAGAAATTGTGCTCTATTAAAGAAAAATCAATATTTTGATTAAATTCTTATAGTCTTATAGTCAATAAAATAAAAGTTGTTTTTCCTATAATAGTTTACCATACTGATTTTGATCTCTGCGGATTTTAGCTTAAAAGTGATAAAAGAATCACCCTAATCAATAAAATTTTGGATGCAGTTAAACTTTTTGATGGTTTAGGCATAATATGTTTTATTCCAATGGATTATAAAATTTGCAAAACGTCTAAGTTATTACGGCAGTATTTAAACTTACTAAAATTGTAGTAACGATGAAGGTTTTATTTTGAAGACTTTCAACAATTTCTGTATATACTTCACCGTAGCTACGTGTAAAATTAACACCTTTCGTACTGTTCCAGGTTCCAATTTTTTTCATACCATGCTTAGTATTTAGTTCAATGATGTCAAGGACAAAGTCTGACCTAAATCCCTGGTGGTCAAACTTAATAATTCCTGACAATCCTGTCATTTCAACCTAAAAAATATAAGTATTTATTATATTATTGATTGATTTTTGATCATCTGTCAATAATCAACATTTTTCGTTCTGTTCATATTATATCATTATAAATATTTTTACGCAACCTAATGCTAAGATACATATACATTTTTAGGCTATCAAAATATAAGCCTCTTATTTTCAAAAAAATATTTTTTGCAACACTAACATCTAAAGTTAAATTCTACGCTATGGTAAGCTTTGACTAATTTCAACCCAAAAGTTATTGCTCATCCAATTTTTTTTCTAATATCGTTTCAGTAATGCCACGCGATATTTTTAAGACCAAAACATGTCTCCAGAAGACATAATAGACAGCTAATAAGAAATTCCATCTTTATTCCTAAGAATGTCCGGAAAAATTCTTAAGTGCATATGACTACACACGGGACAGTTAATCAGTATATGAAATAAACTTTTTCCTTCGCTACACTTTATTGAAAAACCCTGTACAAGATCTTGTACAAGAAAATGTACATGTTCAGTAGCTGAACTTATACCTGTTCTGGTGAGAACATATACAAGATATTGTACAATTTCGGTACCAGAATTTGGAAAAATTTCTTGTATCAGAACTTATACAAGATCTTGCACAATATCTCGTACAAAAAAATATATTTAATATTTGTATACAAGAAAATGAACATGTTATTGTACATATTCTTGTGTAGATTCATGTACAAGTACTTCCACATGAAACCGTTCATGTTCTTGTACAAATTCATTTAACAAAATTTTTTCAGCAAAATTTGATATTGTTAAATTTTTCGAACTGTGTTATGAATTTACTAATAATTTTTGGAGGCTTTTCACAGTTATGATGTTTGTTTATTGATACAGTTTATACTTTAAAATTTACTACATGTTTCGGCTATTTAGCCCTCAACAGGTTAATACAATGATCACAAGTTAAAATTTCGATATAAGAAATACGTGAATAAAATAAAATAATAAACACATAAGATCGCGTGTTCGATCACATGTAAAATTCATTTTTTACAATATTTTTCATTTTACGACTTTACGACTTTAGAATTAAGATGTTCTACGTCTCTAGATCGTAGGAACTGTTCATAATCTTTTAGAATAATCGCTTTGTTCGCGGATACGTTGTCCAGAGATAGGGAAAGCCACTGGTCTAACCTTTCTCCAATCCCGAAAAACACCTTCAGTTGCGAGAACTCGCTAACACTCGTAGTTTTATAAAACACTGCCTGCGATACCTAGAATTATCCATTAAAGAAATCTTACAAATCCAGGATACTGTTAAAGATAAGATCTTGTAAACAAAATGAGTTAACCCAGTTTCCAGTCTAACTGCTTAATTCGGCGTTATTGTATACACTTTTATCAAATTAACGTCTACAAATTTCAGTTTGGCTACAGATCTTTCTATTGCCATCGAGGAAGATGTTCCATGATAAAAAATGCTGATAACTACTTTACAATTTTACAAAATTCCAAAATAGACGTAAAAAATAGTCGTTTATCATCAATCTTTCAAAAATTTCTCAAATGTGATCAATTTTACACTAAAATAATGCAAAGAGGAATCAAATATTTAAAATTCTGAGTAAAATAAAAAAAATATATCTGGTTTATCTTGCATAGTTTTAAAGAGACGATCATTTAACTCCTTGCGTCACGGAAGAATCATCCTGATTTTTCACTGTCTTGTTTATAATTCTAAAATTGATAAACAAATAAACATATGAAAATAATTTTTAATTTATCTAATTTTTATATGTTTATTAATCTTAGAATTATAAACAAGACACTGAAAAATCAAGATGGTTCTTCCGTGGCGTAAGGAGTTAACCTTTAAGCTGCGGGATTGGTCTATATATCGACCATTAAAGAAGCACCAAAAATTTAATGTTTCTAGACAAAATTCGATGTCTCAATACTTAAAAAATAGCTTTCGAATTCCTCGAAACATCGTTGACATTAAAATTTGGTAATCCAAGGTCAAATTCTATTTTCTTTTAGAAGCGAGGATTTCCGAATGTTTCACAGTTTAGAAATTTTTGAAAAATTGATGATTAAGACTATTTTGGAATTTTGTAAGGTTTAACAGTAACCAGCTGTTTAACGCGCGCTGAAGCGCGCATTCATCTTCTTTCAATTACGAGACAACTTTAAGGCAAGCTATATTGTGGGGGAGGGAAGTCCTCTTTTTGTGTTAGAAAAAATCGATTTCTCTTTTTTTGCATAGTTCTACGCTAGAGGTTATTAAACATGTGCTCCCTTAAATGAAATTGAGGAATCCATTTAGTTGATGAGTAATTGAAGCGCCAATATGATCGTGTGTTCGATTCTTCCACCAGCTTCTGAAGTGGGTGGTAGCGTTACCATTCTTTTCAGTAAATTATTTTATTATTCCATGCTTTTTTAACTGGTCACAAGTGACCAAGTCATAAGTTTCTCCCATCATGTTTTATTCAATTATTTATGTTTAATTGCGTTTTTCCAAAACTCGTATTTTTCAAAAATTTGCTATGACTTCGATTACAAGTTTTTGGTCTATAATTTTTTGTTTTAGTTTGGTTACAAATACTACCAACATTTATAAACTCAAAAAAATAATCAAAAGTCAATTACTTTAGGAAGAAGCTTGTTAAAATGAGATATTTGAAATATTTTAAGCAGCTCGTGTCTATCAGATTGTAATAACACATAAAATCATATTCAATTTTTTTGATTCAGACAATTTAAATTGAAAAAGTTTTACCAAAAACTTGGTAGCAAAATTATTGCAGGCTCGTGCTCAAGAACGGTTTAAGGTCGCGTGTGTGAATATTAATATTAATTAAAGCAATATTTTTAGAGTCTAATTGTTAGAATAAATGGCAACAAATCGTATGTATCGTTAACGAACAAATGGAAAGTAAAAAACAATTTACACAAATGTAAATTACAAATGTAATAAAATATTAACCGAAGTCATCTGTTTACTAAGTGTTATTTAGTGTCTATCGAGCAGTTGCTAAAAAGGTACATTTTCTTGTACAATATCTTTACAGGGATTTTTAATAGGGCGTTTTTAAAATTATAATATACTACACTGAAAAAAAATTTATTTGATTCAAATACTTCAAATTATTTGAAAAATATTTAATTGGTTCAAATACGCCATTGTGCATGAACAAAGCGGAAGCAACAGGTGCACGTGGCTCAAACGTTTCGGTCCTTTTTATCGTGTCCTTTGAATTAAAATTGCTTCAATCGAAATCTTTCAAATTAATTCAAATTCGGTTTAATGTCGTGTGTTCTAAAGTGTTAATATATAAAAATGGCTGACGAGTTTGTCAAAGAACTTTTAATAAAATGGGGTCTACCCGAAAGCATCGTGGTATTTGAAGGTTAGTATATATTATACGTATATAATTTGTTTTTACTTTTGTTTCGTTTTTGCCCCTAGAAACCCGCCCAACAAGAATGACTTCTTGATAAAAAATATTTTCTTCCAGAAAATCATGTTTTAATAATATAATTTTTCCATAGAGCATAAAATCACAAAAGAAACCATACCGCTTCTGACGATAGAGTCAATTAATAAACTTATTCCACTAGTCGGACCACAAGCAATTTTTCTAAAAGAATGGAAAAAAATGTTCGAAATTTCATCACAGTCGGCAAATGGTCATAATGATAATTCAGTGAGTTTTTTTTTGTTTTTTGTAAAGTATAATATTTATATAACCTATAAACGTGATATAAATATAATTTCATTTCTTACACTTTATAAAACGTCAATTTACAACATATCAGGTTCGAAATTTTTTGTTTCTGACATTAATATTCAAGGAAATATTTTATAAAAACAAAAAAGTTTCATTGAACTGTAGTCTTTTTAAAGTTTTTTACTTTTTCATTCTCATAGCACAAAATAATTGAAATAATTTTTAAATTAAAAAAATTTTTGAAAAAAAGTCAATCTAAAAAATTATTCCAAATTTTAACCCGTTTAAAGTTCAATTATAAATTTTATTATTTTTAATTGAAAAAATTTATTTATTCCAAATTTTAACCAATTATTTTCAGTAATTTAAAATTTTTAAATTTGAAAGAATTGAATTATAATTCGATTAGAATTTTTGTAATTGGATTTGTAATTGAGTAGAATGTAATATAACTTAATTTATAATTAATTAAAATTTGGAATATTTGAATTTTTTATTAATTGGAATTTCCAATCATTTACTTTTTAATTGAATATAATTAAGTCATATTTTACTTTGATTTTCTCACAGCTTTTAAAATTTGAATTTTTTTATTACATTTTTGTATTGTGTCAAAGCCAGTTATTGTAGACTCCGTAAGACAGCAGTTTAATATTCGATTTCTTCCATCTGTGGAAACTATACTAAGAAAAAACGTACAAACCTCGACTATTTTAGCAACGTACAAGAAAAGTTCGAATCCAAGGTTCTATGACGGGATGTCCAGATATCAGGAAAGTCAATTTCTGATATTTTATATTTCAACCAATTAAAAATTTATCACATTTTTCGAAAAAGTGCACAAAGTTTTCGCATATCTGTCAAAATTTGAAAATTTATCACGATTTTCGAAAAATTGTAAAAGATACAAAAATAATTCTAATATTTATTAAAATTTAAAAATTTATCACGATTTTCGAAAAATTCTACAAAATTCCAAAATATTCGTTTAATTGAAATTTCGTTGAATCATTAGTTTAAGATAATATTTGGAAATTTTGCTGAATTTAATTTATGAAAAACTAATGTTTATTTAATTTGTAATATTAATAATTAATAAAAAATTTATTTGATACTTCTAAATTTCAAGATCAGAGAAAAGTCAGGGAATTTTTTACTTGATTATCCCTGGACACCCTGTATAAGAAGTAAATAAAATTCGATGCACTCAAAATATGTTGAATATGAATGAATGAATGAATATTCTTTTTAATTTTTAATTTATAGAATTAAAATTACTGATTTGGTCTACTT